CAAGAACTCAGGGGTCCAGCATGCACATGAGGGTCCTGTGGTGTCCTGTGCTCACACTGAGCTGCTGCAGTGGCGTGGGGCCTTCCTGTGCCAGCTCCGTGCCTCTGGCCACCTCCTCTATTATTTGCTGATGTGTGCTTTGCCCAGCAGCTCCCAGTGCCATGCTGGGCTGCGAACCAGCAACCAGCAGGCTGAAACTGAGCCACCGAAACACTGTGTTTGGCCCACACTGTGATTTCTAAAAATTGGGATTAATTGCAAACACTTAAAAATATGGTAATGACATTTTTAAAAATCTGATTTATCTCTAATTAAAAAATCTTGCCACACTGAGAAAAACAAACAAACAAACAAACTCAAACTTAGTTTTTTACACACTCACAACCCAGGTCATTTCTGTGACCCCGAAACGTGTGGGGATTTCTCCCCACCATCAAGCAAGAGATCAGTTCTTCAGCAGACACCAGCTGGACACCATCTAATCCAATTCCATTCGGACACTGTCCATCTGGGGATAATCCCACCAGGTGAGGGCTCAGTCCCTCAGAAGGCCCCGTTTCAGGTACCAGTTTCAGGTTGAGGCCTCTAAAACTTATGGGGGATCCCAGACCCCCTCTTTAGGGTTGATTAATTAGCTGGTATGGCTCACAGAGCTCAGGGAAACACTTTGGTTTACCTGTTTATTATAAAGGATATATTTCAAAGGATCCATACAAGCAGCCAGAGGAAGAAATACCCAGGGAAAGTTCTGGATAGGCTCACCACAGGAGCTTCCATCTCTGTGGATTTGAGGTACACCATCTCCTGGCACATGGGTGAGTTCTTGTCCACCTTCCTGAGTGCCTCTATGCGTCCAGAAGCCCTCTACACCTGTCCCTTTGGGTTTCTATGGAAATGTCATTATATACTAGGTGGAGAGACTCAGCCAGGCCTGCCCCTCCAGATTCTTCTAGGCTTCTCTGTGCAGCTTCCTTCCTCCCAGGTGTGGGCAGGGCACCTGTGGAAATGGAGGTCTGTGATCTACTATCAAATAAGGCAGGTCAGAGGATTTCTTTATGGCCATCTCTAAGACAGAAAACCAGGAGAAGATGGAAGTATATTTTTAGATTCTATGACCTGCCTTATAAAAGAGAAAAATCTAGTTTCTACAGCCAAACTTACAGAGAAAAAGGAGCAAGTGAAAGGAGGTCAGGAGAAAATAAGAGAGAGAGAGAGAGAGAGAGAGAGAGAGAGAGAGAGA